AGATGGTCTGAGCCACGCAGGAAAGGACATTTATAGAGTCTAGACTTCGAAGAAAGCAGAGAAACTTTTAGCAAAGCCAGTTTGTTTTGGAACACTCGTATGTAACAAACGAAATCCCTTGAGTTGGGAAAAATCAGGACACCATTATACCTTTTGCTCGCAGGCCAACGTTGTTCTAAGACGGTGTTTTGCATCCGCCCTCGGGCGAAATACAGCGAAATCAAGTGAAATACTTCGATAATGTGGTCGCAAATACTGCTTAATCCGCGGTTGTAATTTCCTACTCATTTGGGGGAGAGCTCCAGCCCCCAACGTTGAGAAGTAAGCAGGGGCGTATGTGTAACGTAGTTCTCGAGTGGACGTGCCCCTCCTAACAAGTTAATAGTGTGGACGAATATGTTACATGACTACATAATGACCGCTACAAATCTTAGGGAGGCGAGTAGGAGCTAACTCACTTGTGACTCGCAATCCATCGCATCGATGACAAACCGTTTTCGCCTTGTGTCATCGCATGAACAGCGCAATTCGTTTACTTAAAGCCATCCATTAGACATCATGACAACAATCTGACCTCTCCTCCAGCCGGCGGAAAATGCTCCGAAAGCTGCAGTGACCTATGCCTGTATCGCCTGAAGTCCGTGGCAATCCAGATGGTATCGAGAAGGGTGCAGGTCACCGAGTACACAAAGCAGTGTTCAAGGGCAATGCCATGACATCTTCAGAGTTTGCCTGAAAGCGAAAACGAGGTTGGTTAGTTTATCATCAAAATGTCCCTGACAGGTGCGACACTCAGCAACAGGTGATAGGTAAGTGTCACCCAACTGTAGCTGATAACACTCATATGTTACCAGCTACCACGGGGGGGGGGCTGAGGAGAACACGCCTCTAATTTTTCACAAATGAGCTTTGTCCCCTTCAATTTCGCCGGTCAAACCCACATTTTTATTTAAAAAATTCCGACTTATGCCGCTTCCAGATTAGATTACCCCCAAATTTGACACCCAACCACAGTTTGTTTCCAGTTTGACCCCTTCAGTTCAGGTCTGTCTCGCCTAATCTCTGAACCGTGGTTACACTCAAGACGGGTGATATCAGCCAAACGAGATGCGTTGCCAATGAAGGCGTACATATGGCGTCACACCCACAAACACATTAGAAGCAATCTTTTGGTCAGACTGGCACGTGAATGTAGCCTGGTAGAGCAAAACCAACTGGCGATCCCACCCAGAAAACCACCCAGCAAAAGACTGTACTTCGAAATGCACCAGAGCATACTGGCATACATACTGGCAGCGTCCTCTGGGCTCAGTGCACCCAGAGAGCCAGGCAATTTTTGTCACATACATTCAGTTCATGGAAATTCAGATTTTAATTTACAACAGCGTTTAAAATTTGTATAGCATGAAAAATATTCTGGATTCAACATTTTGACTTAAAGTAATCATAGCTCGGTAATTGTCGGAGATATTGCCTTTGTAGGCGCACGTTTTCATGGGGTGTTTGCACATTTCAGCTATATGTTATATATATATATATATATATATATATATATATATATATATGCATACATGTATATATATTCAGATGAGCATGTATATGTATAATTTCCTGCATAGGCGTAAGAACGTTTCAAAAAAGAGAGGCCAAGCTCAGGGTGCACTTCATGAACTTTTTCTGCAACGCAAGCCCAATAACCGGGGGGGGGGGGGGGGGGTGTAGAAATAAATATTGTTACCGCTCTTTTTCAAATGTCATGGCTGCTATGCTAGATATGCATCTAGAGCTGTTTCTCACTGGCGCACAATCTTGCCTATTCGATTCATCTATGTCATTCGTCAAATAAGCGTATTCAGCTCCCCAAGATTATTCGTCCATTTTAACATTGTCTTTCCTGGAGAGGCGAAATTCCACGGGCGGGCAGGCATTTTGGGCCATTGAAGCGGCATCTGCCTCCACAAGATAGATGCAAAAATACGGCCTGGATATAGGCTGGGGAGAATTTTGAACGTGAGTTGATGGCTCACAGTGCGATAATTTTTCATGCGTCTTTATTTCGCTGGCTGTTTCTCAAGAGACTTGGCGCCACATTTTAGGCGGACACCAATTCGGAAGCTTGAAATTGCCAAAAACAATGTGACAAAAGCCATAAGACTGGAGATTCTCTTTTACAAACCAAGCCACACAACAAAGGCCCGTCTGTTGTTCCTCATTTGGGGCCATGCTCCCGTGCGTCGTTGGCGGCCACTGCCCTGGTCCGGCTGTCTACCGCGTGACTGACTGAACTGATCGTATGGCTGCCTTGCTGCATATTTCTGAATCAGCATTACTACTGATCGGCGCGTGAAGCATATATTGAACACCTGCAACAGTAGCTTTTTTTCCGAATGGTCGGTCCTCCCTTACACCAAACCACTGCAGAAAAATAGCCTCCGGGAAGCTGCCTGCCTTAGGTACGAATTGGCCCAACGGACATTCTCTTGTCCATAATTCAAGGTAGACGACTTGATCTGCTTTTATGTGTGGGCAGGGACGTAGCCAGAGCCTTGCCAACACAGGGAACACAGGGCGGACAAAAGCCCCTCTTATGTTGACCCCCCCCCCCAAAAAAAAAATCCCCGCATACAGCTTGCTTGTTTACAAGGGACAAGGTTTTCTCTGTTTTATTGCTATTTTTGCCTTCGAACGGGAACAGAAACCAGAAGCTACAGTGAAATCAATTCTGTTAATATTCTGAAGTCAATAAAATGCAGAAATTAGGCTTTGAACGACCGCATGGAATAAATATATCACTAGCACCCTTAATTTACGATGGATTAATGGACTTTTTCTAAACCGATAGAATTCAGAATTTTTGTCAGAATCTTTTATCTGGGTTCTACAGGCATTGAGGACAAGGCTAAGGTGAATTAGATCGACATGTTTGATCCCAATTTGAAGATGAAAATTTGACTGCAGATCGAGGGGTCAACTTCATGTATTAACATGGCTAAGCCGCGTTGTTCTGGAAATTTTAACCATTAAGTCAGAATCGATTAGTGATACAATTTATGTAGCGTGATTTTCTAACATCTTGCTCGCAAATCTTAGCAAAAAAACCTCGGCGTTGTCAAAAAATCGACACCAGGCGTTGCAGTCTCCATAGTCCGCGTTGAATTAGCTCGGTGGTTAGCTTTTAGCCTTGGCTCACCGGTGGGCGAAGATGATGAGGGTTCTGAAATAGTTACCTTTCAGCACTGAAATAGAATAGAAATACAAGTTTTGTGACGTACTTTTGAGCATGAGCACTCGAAAATCTTAAAAACAAAAACCTCGACTCCGGGCGTTGCAGTCTCCATAGGCCGCGCGGCGTCAGCCCAGCGGCTAAAACTGAGCTGTGGCCAACGGGTGGGCGAAAATGATCACGCTCTGAAAGAAACACATTTGGAAGTTTTATGACATCACATCTTACATTTAGAAGGGAGTCTGGGTGCATATTTCACTGTGCGATTTTTAGACTAATGATAAGAACGTACTGACGCTTAAAGCACCGCGAAGTGGTGCTGGAATCTGGCGGTGCAACTGTAAGAGTAAAGGAAGAATCTCTATTTTTCGTGTTTCTGTGACTGTTAACATGTCCAGAAGACAAGTTTACACCGCGCCCGCCGTCTGGTGGCACTTGCAGTGGCCAACGCCGTTCGGTTTCATGAAAACTGCGGCCCAGACCAACGTTGTCCTCGCTCTCGAGGTTGCAGGCGGGTATATTCAAACCGTTTGATGTAATTTGTTTCACTAATCCATTATGAAAACTGAACGTCCTCAGGCAAGCATGGGATGGCCTTGCTCGTTTTTTAAGCTCAGTTTGACCCACTCTGTTCAACAATAATGAGACCCCCCATTCTATTCGACAGTACTCTGACCCCTTGTTTCTTCCCGGGCAAGGAGCCCCTTGAGTAGAACACCAGCGGCACATGATCGTTTCCGGTCAAGGGCTGAGGGGCAGTTCCATCCCATCGCGAAGTGTCCTCTGGCTGCCATTCTGGCGACACGGAGCAGGATCTCCTGACCATCTGGAGGCCTTGAGAAGGATATATCATATCGCATTGTTTCCCTCCCTGACACGGAAGGCCTTCTGGCCCGCGCAGCTGGCCCTGGATCAGCACAGGAGCGCTCATTGACGCAACATCACCCCTGATCAGCCGCAGGTGGTTCGATAATTGTCACCTATACTCCAGTTCCACGTTTCTCTGTGCTCTTCAGAGATATTGAGGACCCCCTGAACGTAGATCGCAGATAAAAGGGGTCCCATATTTTATCAACGTGGCTAATCCATGTTCATCCTAAAATGTTCAGGATTCATTCAGAATTTATTACGGTCAAAAAATATACGTGATATGGTTTTGAACATGTGCGTTCACAAGTCATAGCGACAAGATCATCGACGCCCGGCGTCGCAGTCTTCATAGGCCGTGCGGTGGACTTCCGGCTGTGATGCCAAGCGGTGGTCAAGGAGCAAACGAAAAAGATGACGCATCTTGCGGAGGATGGCTGGTGAAATATGTAAATCGGCATGCATGTTTAATGTAGTGCAAAAGTCAGCTGAACACAACCTTAATCTGAAAAGTGGGGGAAACTAACACTGCTGGCCCCCACCTTAAAAAGGGGAGGTCATAACCCCTGCCTCTCCCCCCCCCCCCCTGCTTCTACGCTTTCCTGGGTGTCCTGGCTTCTATATAAATGTGTTAAACCTCGAAGATGTTTTGCAACATTCAGTTTTCAAAGCTCGAGCTTGGATGTAGTCACAGTAATGTGTAGCACATGGTCAACGCAAAATCCTCTAGTAAGCACTTGGGATAGAAATTGTGCATGTAAACGCAATGCAAATTTCGTGTTTATATCACCACCCGTCGGTTGTGGCCGCGCTGGTTGCGGTGGCTAACAAGTTGGAAGCTTTTCTGAAAATGTCTCGGTGCCTATCTCCCCAGACAGGCCGCTTTCGCTGTTGTTGAAACATTCGCTTTGACCATTTGAGATCCGTGTTTCGATACCGGCAAGTCATCAGCAAGCCGTGTAATCATGGCGCTGCAGGCCGTGTGTGGGGTGCCGGTTAAAGCCCACCGCAAGCTAGGTGGTGTTGAAGACGACACTTTAGAAGAATTGAAAACTGTTTCATCGATCTTTGATAATCATTGCAGCCTACAAATCCCCCGGATCAATGTACGTATGGGAATATGATGCGATGAAGTATGCGTCAGGTATGCCTCGGCTTGCACGTTGTTCAGGATAGTTTCCTTTTAGAGCTAAATTTAGCGGGGCGAAACTTTGATTCAAATTCAAAAATTGCATTATCTGAATCTTCTTGTGAATTTTGGGGTCTGTGATTTACTTCCAGTAATGATCTTGAATGAGTTGTAGGGCAGTGGGTTCCTATGCTCGGGCAGCGGATGGCTAGGCATACTGTTCATCATGACTTGTGAAAGTTTAGCATCATTAATAATGTCTTGGTGTACTGAAGTTTTCAACTGGCTTACCACATTTTGAATGTTTATGTACTTGGATTTGATGTAAATCTTGATCAGGGCATAGTGTATTGAGTTATGGCAGAAGCGCAGCCCACTGATGTAGCAACTTGTGCTGTCATAGATATGCACTCATAACCATTACCTTTAATTCTAAACATGGGTAGGGATAGAATCAGCTGCTTTGGCCAACTGGAGACATAAAGCATGCAGGAATTGTACAGCTGAACTGTATTTGAATGAACAGTTATTTATGAATTTTGTGGCAAAAGACTTTGTTAATCACACTCAACATGCCATTAAAGCTTGTCTATTTGCTTGGGATTTGAGACTGGCATCAGGGCACAAATCATTCTTAGGCATTGCTATGTCAGCAGTGGTGACTTAATTATAATTGAACACACTTTGTCTCATGGCCAAGTTAGGATTGGTGTTAGCCATCATGGCATAGATGAAGAATTGGCATGCTCTGAAGTAGGGGAATGGGCTTCCATTTGCCAAGGAAGAGTGCTGCATTCTGCCAATCTTATGTGGTGCTCTTCAAGTTTTGGTGTGTCCTGGCCAGCAAGAATGGCTTGGCATGCATGTTTCTAAGATGATAATTCCATGGGATTGCTAGTGTTGCTGATATAAAATATACTTTTGAGTACAGAACAGGCATGGGAAAGTTATTTGCATGTTTTTCTGATGAGTGTTTTCAAGGTTTAATTTTGATTGTGTGAACCTGGGATAACAAAAGCTAAATAATGATCTGGCAGGAATCTGTGACAGTATGTGCATGTCAACCTTCATTTTTGTGAGTAGGGTAAGGTGGTCCATTTTCTCTTCGAGTTGAGGCATTCTTCATTGTATCAAGCTACCATGATCTGGCCCAAATTTTGACCCATATTCTGCAGAATTTTTACAACTTGAAAGCTGTACTTTCCTTGTCAGTTTAAAAGGGAGACAAAGTCATGGTCATGTGGTGTGGCAGGAAAGCCTGTCTGATCCAACAGTTTGTGTGGAGGTTACTAACAACATGTGTCATGCTTTTTGTGGAGACTTGTGGTTCCTGGAACTGATGATGGCATGAGCTCGCAATCTGTAGTTGTATGTATTGAGTACCAAAATGGGTAATGGCTAGATTACTCACGCTGGAAATTTTCTGTTTGTACAAGTGAGGCTTGTGACCTTGCTATTGCTGTTAAATCTGCCTCTCCCATTGGCATGACATCATCCTGTTAATATATGTACTTCTCTTAAGTGGTTGGATGATCCATGTGTGTTATTCCTTCGTCAACAGGGACTTCAAAATTTCATGACTGATGAGAATGGCAAGGAAATGAAAATCCACTTTGCCCATGGCACCACTACACTAGCATTCAAGTACAATGGAGGTGTCATTGTGTGTGCTGACTCACGAGCCACCGGAGGAAACTACATTGGTAAGTGTATAGTGCAATGTGACTTCTGTTGTTGTCATTGTGGCTTTACAATGTGCTCAGTTGCTGAAGCAATTGGTGTTGCCTGTCTCTCACCCTGGCAGGAAGAGCAGACACTGCAGGGAACTGGAACCCTGTGCAGCAGGTTCCCGAGGCACAAATCTTAAGCACTGCACTACTGTCATCCTATGTGGTGACTCATCTCATATCACATAAGTAATCTGGACAGATCAGAGGCTTACTTAACAGTGTTGAATAGATTGTCTGCATGATAAATCAATTTTCTGCTGTTTATGGTTAGGCATACAAATATGGTGTAACTGCTCTAAATGCTTGAAATTTGTTGAAGCTCTTTTTAAAAGTGTTAGAGCTCAGTGTTGGAGTTGCATCATTGCCATGGGGTATATTGTCCAGCAAGTTCAGCAAATAATCTGCTGCTCCCTTTGTCATTCTGAACTCTTGTGTAGCTTTTGCCACCAGTCAATGTACGCAGCTGCTCGATATGGAAAGCCAGCGAGCGTGGTTGCTGCTCTAATTGGGGAGGCGGGATGCTTTTATAGCAGTTGATCAGTGCATGGAGCTGCTTAGGTTATGAAGTCTTCACGCCTTGGTCGAAAACCGTTTAATCCAATGTTCCTCGCGACCCTGTGTGGGTGCGCATGTGTCGCCTGCCTAGCCCGAGGCTGTCCCTGCTGACATCCCCGCCCGCGCCGCCAGCCTCGCAAGAGGTGCGCAAGATCATCCCGATCAATGAGTACCTGCTGGGCACAATGGCCGGCGGCGCCGCCGACTGCACCTACTGGGAGCGCGTGCTGGCCAAGCAGTGCCGCATCTACGAGCTGCGCAACCGGGAACGGATCAGCGTGGCGGCCGCCTCCAAGCTGCTCGCCAACATGGTCTACAACTACAAGGGCATGGGACTGTCCATGGGCGTGATGATCGTCGGCTGGGACAAGCGGGTAAGTGAGGAGAGGATTTGGAGACGTGGGGCGGTGGTGAGGGGCGTTGGAGCGGAGGTGGTGGTCGTGATGGTTGTTTTTGGACGCTGCGGCCGAATGTGATTAATTTTCTTTGAAGCACTCAGTGTGATGGCCTGACAAGCTGGCTTGTAGCCCTGTGTGACATGGCAGAGATCTGTATGTGATCAGCTGGCTCATAGCCTTGTGTGACATGGCACGAGATCTGTATGTGATCGGCTGGCCCATAGCCCTGTGTGACATGGTACAAGATCTGTATGTGATCGGCTGGCCCATAGCCCTGTGTGACATGGTGCAAGATCTGTATGTGATCGGCTGGCCCATAGCCCTGTGTGACATGGTACGAGATCCGTACGTGATCACGCGGTCTTTGCGTGGTGTTTGATATGTGATGTGGCGCTCGTGATACCCATTTACACATCAGTTGTATGACCTTCGGCTGGTGAATCCTCGGCAATATCGCCAAGTTTGTCCAACACTGTTCATACCTCCGCATTCACCGTGTTCGGACGGCAGGGGCCGGGCCTGTACTACGTGGACACGGACGGCACGCGCACGCCCGGCCACCTGTTCTCGGTCGGCTCCGGGTCGCTGTTCGCGTACGGCGTGCTGGACGCCGGCTACCGGCCCGACCTGACCGACGAGGAGGCGTACGACCTGGGCCGGCGCGCCATCTACCACGCCACCTTCCGCGACGCCGCCTCCGGAGGCATCGTCCGAGGTGGGGCTCGAGCGAGGCTGCCGCCGACGCACGGCATGGGCTGTGGAACGGTCCGGTGGGGGTCCGGTGTGATCCGGTGTGGTCCGGTTTGATCTGTCTCGGGAGATGGGTGGTCCGGTTGGCTCTGATCTGTGAGAGGGGGGTCTGGTCTGGTCCGGGGTGAGAGTGCGCGTCCGAGTGGTGAGCTTAACGGGTCTGTGGTGAAAAAGAATGGGTCGTCTGGATGTTACTGGAGAGAAGTCTTGTGCTGCCTTTTGGTTGACTGGTGTCGCAGATCTGTGTGCTTTTGGGAGTTCTGTGCCGGCATTGCACAGCTTCAAACTAGGAATGTCATGTAAAGAGTATGTGTAGTGGCACATCCAGAGGGACTCATGTTGAAGTCCATCATCATCCCATGTGGATGTTGGAAGGTTTATCTTATTAATAACACATTTTGTGGGTTTTATATTTTACCTGTACAATTTATATTCATTGCATGGATCTCGTCAGTAGTCCCTTTCTTTCCTTTTTGCCTTTGTTTTTGTCTGCTGTCCTGGAATCACGTTTTACCACGCTTATTGGGCTTCAAAGGGAGCATGGTGACGGTAACAGTGACTGCTGTCGCTGGTCGCGACTTTGTCGGGTGCCGCCCAGCGCAATGATTTTTCCTGGGTACCCTCAGCCCCGCGGCATCTAGGTAGCTGTGATGACCGCGGTCTGTCGTTCGGTGGCGGCCGTTGTCCGAGTGCACTGCCGTGACGTGTTGAGCCGCCACCGATCCCAGCTCGAGATGAGCGGCATGAGCATGTCCAGGCCACTGGCATAATAGGAGTGCCCCGCGCTGTCCGGGGCCGTGTATCACGTGGGCAGCGGTCGCACCGGCGCCGTCCGGGCCCGTGTGTCACGTGGGCAGCGGCCGCACCGGCGCCGTCCGGACCGTGTATCACGTGGGCAGTGGCCGTACCGGCGCCGTCCGGGGCCGTGTGTCACGTGGGCAGCGGTCGCACTGACGCCGTCCGGGGCCGTGTATCACGTGGGCAGCGGCTGCACTGACGCCGTCCGGGGCCGTGTATCACGTGGGCAGCGGCTGCACTGACGCCGTCCGGGGCCGTGTATCGCGTGGGCAGCGGTCGCACTGACGCCGTCCGGCCGCCAGTCCGTGCTCGACAGTTCGCCCGGGGAGAGGGGGGGGGGGGGGGCAGTTGGCTGCGACCCCCCCCCCCCCCCCAGCGCGGCGCAGATCGGCGATGGATGGCCTCGTCGTGTCACAGTCTTACAGGGAATGTGGGTCACTTGTTGCGGTTGGCACGTGATAAAGTGATCCGATGGAATCTATTGCATCGTTTCACGTCCCATGTGTTCTTTGGGATACGTCTTGGTTCTATTGAACTACGTGTCATGTTATTTACGACCTTGCTGGCCTTCCAACTGTGGGTTTGTGGGGCATCCGATTTGTCTCGCAGTTATGTTCTTCTGGCCGTCAGCCCCGCTGCCGCTCTTTACCTGAAACGCCACATGTTCTGTGCGTGTGATTTGGCACGATGGATGCCAAATCACACGCTGTGTGGCTACAGCGTTGTTTGTAGTGACTCGACCGATTATCTGTGTTGACCTGCCTTGCGATGTACCCTGCATTGGCCCACGTTCCGTGGAGACCTGAATTGCTCTGCACCCGTGACCTCACGCACCCAGTTCGCCTGCTCTGACCTGCGCTATTTCGGTGACCTGCCCCGGCCCACATGCGTGGCCTGAGCCCCACCTGTCCGCTCCGGCAGTGTTCCACATGAAGGAGACCGGCTGGGAGCGCATCACGGAGGAGGACTGCAAGGAGCTGCACGAGCGCTACGCGGCCGAGAAGCCCGAGGCGTCGCGGCCCTCGGAGGAGAAGTACGGCGTGCTGTAGGCTAGCCGGCGGGCCCGGGTGCCGGGCCCCGGGCGCGTGACGCCGTCCGGACCCGGCCGTGGCAGGGCTCGCACCGCCGCCCCTCGTTCTGTGCATCAATACACTGCTGACGTGCGGACTGTGTTGGAGCTGGGGGAGGGGGGGGGGGGGGGGCGGTCGGTAGGGGAGGACGGTGGACTGTTGGCGCGGTGGTGGCCAGGACCGGTCAGAGCTGCTGTCTGGACGGTGTGCTGTTGGCGGGGAGGCTCAGAAGGGCAGAGGCACGTATCGCGATGTGTTGGGACGGTTCACGTGGGCTGGTGTCGGCTTGAAAGTACACACCAAGAGGAGTCTGGTGACGTGATGTCTACACGGGAACACGCCGCCGGGAACGTAATCACGGGTGGGCGGAGATTTTGCCGCAGGTTCTTTCGTTAATCGGAACCACGATGAGATCACTTTTCTGGCATACTAGGCAGAGACACGGCCGTGTGCCCCCGCCCTAGGTAATATCGTCTGCTGCCAACTGGAGACAGTTCATGGCCATGTCGTACAGTCACTAACCGTGGTGCTCGGGCCTAAGGCCGATAAACTTCGCTCGTAGAACTGATCGTCTTGACCACGGGGACTGCTGGAAGCAACCCGAGGGGAGCGAAAGTTTGAACTGAGCACGACTGGCGGAGGGCATAGGAATTTTCGTTGTTGGGAAGCCGATTGGGGCGTCCCGATGCGGTCTTCTAACACAGCAGAGCGGTTCGTCACGATGGCTGCCCACTTTGTTAGTAAGACAAGTCGCAGGATGGCCAGCTCTATGGCGTGTGGTGGAGTGACGCTGCCGTCGTTTTTTTATGCACGACTCGGCGGCTTCTGCCCGTGGGGCACTCGCTGGCCGGGATGTCGTAATTCGTATGGGTGTGTGCCTCCGGCGGCTCAAGTCAGACCAAGGACGAGCTTGGTTTATGTCGCTGATTTGCCCCATGTGACCGATGCGGTGGCTCGTGGGTTTGCCTGTTATGTTTGTGAAGGAGCCAGGGATATTGGAGATGTGATAGCGATCTTCCTGCTGGTGACAGGCTATCTGTGATTTACACTGCTGCCCTCTGTTTGGTGGCGTTATAAGTTGTGGTTCCTTTTGTCACACGCTCGCTGCCGCGCCTTTGAGCTGGGCGGAGCGGCGACCTGAAAGCTCGTTGGATTGTCTTTATTTTCATAAGTCAGCCGTTGTAATTGCGTCGCTGACATTGGGAAAAGAAGCAAGATTAAAAGTCAGACTGGAAACTGGGTAACAAGTTGACCTATAAGTGGGTTTTTTTAATGGGAAATGTGAAAATTGCTCGTTTGACGGGTAAAATTGCAGGGCCAGATCCCATTTTGGGGCTGTGGTCATCGCCCTGTCCCTCCCCCCCCCCTTCCTCGCAGCGGTTACATTAATACAATGGTCGGTTGTTATCAGGCCATTTTTATGCGTTTTGCGGCTTAGTTTTTTACGTCGGCTCACCCTGTTATGTTGTAAGCATATCTGGCAGAATCGTGACAAGTATGATATCACGTGAGGATACCTTGTGGTTGAATAGATCGGTGTCGATCTGAACATATTACTTTGAATATTAAATTGTATTATGATCAAGCTTCCAGCGGAGACAGGCTTTGAACTACAATCACCGTTACGTTGGCCGATTGTGCAGGGATGTGACCTGATGTGTCCGTATCGAGATCATTCGCCGCGTCTCATCTAATTTTCTGGTAAAAGTTGCTAACGCGTTCAATAACGAAGGCATGGGTATGTTCGTCATAATGGTCAAATCGTCAAATCGAATCGTCGAAATCAAATCAAATCAAATAATGTATATAATCGTATAATATAACCATCAGGGTAAGTCAGAAACGGCGCCCTGTGAGACTCACCGATGGCTTGGGGCTAAAGTAAAAATCGTAGTTTTCAAAACCTCACCGGATTATTTTAAAAGAAACACCGCAATGGGTTAGATTTTGTCAAGGTCTAAGCGAACTTCAATGTTATTTTTCCGGACCTTGGCCCTCTTTAGGTCCCAATATCGCGTCGATGCACCGCCCATGTTCAGAATCAATAGTCTGGAGCCAATTAGTTTAGTTTAGTCAATAATCACTTCCCGTTGTTCTCAAATCATAACCGCGCTGATGAGAATTTCCTTATTTGCTGTTTGTTGGAACCGGACCTTACCGCCGATCCATTTGCAGACGTTTGCAGCGTAAAGGAACTAGTATGGAAGCCTTACAGATTGGTGTTACACATTATGGGAGCATTCACTTACACCGAAATGTTCTCACCCTCACGTTGCGCGCTCGGGAGTTTACTGTCGATTATGCATTTAACACGGTGATTCTGGTACAGGGATTCTTAAAGACAAGCTGTCCTGCCCTCCGCCAGGGCCGGCTCATGTGTTCGGTGGTTTCCTGCCAGGCCGGAGGAGCGAACCGGGGTATGCATTGATGCGGAAATCGATAGTATTAGTGTACATGATGCATGATGCCGCTATGACCGTCCGCCACGTATGAACGCCCACGTCCTCCAGCAACAAATGAGGGGATGAACAACAAATTATCTGGGATCGTTGATCAGCGTGATCATGCCACTCGTTTCCATTCATTTAGTTTTCATCTGCAACTTAGGGCTACAATCAATGATTTAACAAATGGTCGTCTCGGAGAAAGATACAACAAATGACTATCTCCACAAACGACTGCGGACAAACCGAGCTGGCGCCCGCCAGCGCCTGGTAACGGGCGCTGCCGCTTCCACGGCTCGGGGCGTACAGTTCGGTGGGCAGCTGGCGGCCGACGTGTGAGCGGCGGCGGCAGCTGCACATGTCTGGCGCCCCCTGGTGCCCGGCGCCCCTATATGGGCGGCCCGTGCCCGGCCGCGACGCCCCTGCCGTGACAGCTGGCACGTGGAGAATACCGCCTGGTGTACGGCAGTCATGGCTGACCTGTGCCCCAGGCTGACGCGGCTTCGACGCCTCGTCTAACCTTGGATGGCTGGTGCGTGATGTTAGAAATTCTGGTTCGAGTGAAGCCATCGCAATACAGCTGCCGGACACGAATATCACCGCTGTATTACGAGTATGATTCACGTTCTTATCGATACTATTCATGGATGGGACCTGTGAGTTCGGGGACACCGGACATGAGGTGGATGTTTGCGTGCGTCAAGCGTACCCAAGTCTGCCTCACCTCCCGATCGGCTAACCTATAATGATGGCTTCTCGCCTGATTGCGCAAATGAGAGCAACACAGCACGGTCCATTTGATCTCCGGTCCATTTATTTAGCCCCTGTCTGCAGTCGAACGCGGCTTCTCTGAAGCTGGCCGGCGCCTGTCAGCGGCGGACGCCGCACAACAGGAGTGTCGGCCGAATCACCGCACGTTTCCCGCGACGAAACGGCGCAGGCGGAGCGCAGTGGCGCGCAACATCAGACGACGCGGGCCGGATTGATCCTGCGGGCGCGGCCAGATGGCTGCCGACATCAAAGTCGGAACTCGGAGCCTGATCGCCCGGTGATGCGGTGCAGAGAGCCGACCTGCCGCGACAGAGGGGGCGGGGGCCGCCACGCCGTCTGCTGCGCAACACCAGCTTCGGTTGCTGTGGGGCGCTAGGGGCTGTGGATGAACTTAACGGGACGCAGCTGCAGCCCCGACATCTTAGAAACGTTTGGAGCATGACGTTACATTAAAAAAATGGACCCTAGTATGGGGATTTTCTTCGTCTCCTTCTTGAAAAAAGTGCCTCTCTTCTTGAGAAAGTTTCAGCCTTTCCTATGGTTCACATAGACTTGTGCTGTCTGCTGCTGCTCGTGCGACTTTTTCCGAGCTGCGTACGCTTCTGAGAAGCGTTGGGTGTGTTCGGTGTTCCGGCTAAAAGGCCACAAGACTTGGCACTGCGCCAACATGCGACTGCGCATCGCGCGTGGACAAAGGAACTGTTGCGATTCTGGCAGCCAGAGATGTCATTGATCAATGTCCAAGGAATATCGCTGCAGCGCACTACATGCAACAATTTCCTTTCCCTCTCGTCGCGCAATTGATCAAACATCCTTTGAGACACTGAATGCCTTAACGACCAGGGTACGGGTGCCGATTTGTATTCTTTATGGGAGCCCTGTCCTCGTCTTCCCCCCCCCCCCCCCCAATGTTGGTTTAGCCCTCCCCTAATTTTTGGGCTGGAACGTTACAGAAACGTAGAAAAGAGTTAGCATTACACAAAGCCAAACTTCTTTGATCGTTCCTCATGGTGCGGCTTGGTAGCTTGAAGTTACAGCCTCAGAATCATGTCTTCAATGGAGGAGTAATTTTAGAAATTGGGGTAAACCATTTTATAATTCGACTTCTTCGTTTTTCGTCCATCAAACGTAAGTCCAGACGCCTGTTTTCGTGGAACTAATGATGATATTGACACCACTGATTCTTTGCTGTAAGATCGCATGAGGCAACAACATTGAGTAACAACTTTTTACTTTGGCCAGGCACCAATAGCTCATATTTTGGTTCCATCTCACTTACAAAATAAATAACCATAAAGGGGACGGAAAGTTTGCGGGGGCAGCTCTTTTGGCAGATCAATCATATTGGGACAGATTTAATCTGATTCCGTGCTGAACACAGTTTATCACCAGCGCTCTTAACCCACCATCCCACAACTGTAACGCATCTTCAACAGATCCATTTTGCCCCAGTCCCTTACCCAAAGAGCACGAAAGAGCCTTTACCGTGGCATGCGACTACACGACTGTCGGCTGCCTTGTATCCAGGCTGACACTAGCAAGCCAACGGCTAAACAACCCTCGCTGGCAACCCATATAAACCCTATTCTGGAAGGCGACCCTACCGCTCCGTGTTTCGCCACATCACGAATGTGGTCGCCACAACTTCAGCGCTCTGCCGAAGTTGGGCTTCCACCACCACGATTGGTGTCTCTGTGCGGCAACATGCGTTCTTTTTGCGAGCATTTCACGCATTGCGGTCAACGGGCTCGTACAAGGGCGATGCCTGTAAATTACCTCTTTGCTAGCCATTTTTGTCAAGTGATGTCGCCTGTGGCATATCACGCAGTCATGGTTAGTTAAACTCGGATAAATGCATGACACCATTGTTTGGGATCGT